ACAGAAACCTCGTAACATCAGCTCATCCAGTAAACATTTTGTTCGCGTGTAACTTTGCCTTGGTTTCCGCAAAAAGTCGTACCCATCTTCAGTTTTATCGATTTTTCGGCCAAACTCGGGGGTCGGGGGTTGGAGATAGAAACGTTAGCCTTGACCTACCTTCGTAGATTTGCAACATGTGTGTACAATTTCATCGAAAGCGCTCGAGAAATGTAGACGTACATAAATACTATACGCAGATACAGGCAAACCTACACACGGACAGACACACACAGAGAAATCTTCTGTTTTATACATATAGATTAATCATCTATTAACGTTCCATTTGTGTAATAATAGTTCAATTAAATCGTATGCCACAAACCAAAGCAACAAAATACGGCAAATCCAATAACACAAAAATATTATACTACATAAACTATAAAAACGATTATAAATTCTCGAAGGATTAAACATAAAAAACAAACAATTCAACATCATTAAAAAAATTCAGAAAAAAACATACTAAATATACTTCTTAAATAAATAAACGATCTGTTATTTGAAGACGCGATAATTTAAAAAACAAAACTGACATGAGACACGAAAACGCGATATTTGTAAAACGACGAAACTGTCAACACAAAAATGTTTATAACACCGAAAATACTCAGACGTTGGACAATTTATATTCAAATATGTACCGAAAACAAAGAAAATGGTCCGAAATATAGAAAAATAACTTTCGTTGGTCGTTAACCAAACCTATATATATATATAAAGGGTCTTCCAATAACTTGGATCGATTTAAAATTCAAGTTTAAGGGTCTAATGATTTTTTCTTTTACTTTTAGATTTAACAACTTAAGCCTTTGGCAATTTCAACCATAGAAAGATTAACAATCAAACAACGTGTTAAAGTTATCGAAGCCTATTACGAAAATGGACGTTCAAACAGAAATGCATTTCGCGCACTTGGCAATTTTTTGGTCAACATAATCGATCAACCAAGAGTGCAATTGGAAACGATGTAACATTGTTGTGGAGAGGTTCAATTCCTGCGCGGGATGATGAAGAGAATTGTCTGGATTTTCGGCCACATTCTCGTGAACTGCAGCAATGTTTTCTGCTAAATGGCGTAAACAAGCACGCAATGGTGTTTTCACATCTGCCACCGTTTTCTAATTGCACTCTTGAAACTTTAACACGTTGTTTGATTGTTAATCTTTCCATGGTTGAAATTGGCAAAGACTTAAGAGTTGTTAAATCTGAAAGAAAAAGAAAAAAAAATCATTAGACGCTGAAATTTAAATCACATTTAAAATCGGCCCAAGTTATTGTAACAACTCTTATATATATATATATATATATATATATATATATATATATATATATATATATGTGTGTGTGTGTGTGTGTGTGTGTGTGTGTGTGTGTGTGTGTGTGTGTGTGTGTGTGTGTGAATAAAAGTGACAAGAGGTAAAAGTATTCTTAGCCGAGGCGTTTAGTTCTTTCTCTGATCGATAAAGTCCCTCAGAGGACGAAACGCGTAGGGTAAGAATATTTTTTCTCTTGTCTTTTTTATTCATTTTGTTTCTTCTACAGACACACTCTATCTGAGAATATATATATATATATATATATATATATATATATATATATATATATATATATATATATATATATATGCGCAGTTGAACTTATTTTTTTTTATTGTGGCGTATTTGTGTATGCATAAAACAGAGGTCGAAAAAACTAGTTTATATGCCAAATCCGACCCACTCATATTTCATCCGCCCCCAGACCAAATATAAAATACTATTATTTTATTTATTTATTTATTTATTATCATTTCACCTCAAGCAAGGTAATAAAGCCACTAAGATGCAAGTGATTACTGCGTGTGTAGAAATATGAGAAATAGAAAACATTACTAAGGAGAGAGAACAAGAATTAAAGAGGGAAAAAATGACAATTGTGATTTCATTTAAATGTTTGGTGAAAGTTGACTGGAAAGCAAGAAGAGTATTCCCTAAGCGAGAAGTGCGAGGGAAGAAACTGTTAGCATAGAACTTATGGTCATATCTAACAATTTCAACTGTAAAATGTTGGGACTTAACTGCCAATCCAGTACTGTTCTTAAATTCGTAAAGTCGAGGTACCAAAAAGGAAAGCTCATCAGAACAATTACCATGAAAATATTTATAGAAAAGGCACAGGGAAGCAACGTTACGGCAGTGGGAAAGTGATTGAAGCCGAGATGCCAGGTAGGGCCGATGAAATTGCAGATTCTTCTTTGTATTTTATCAAGAAACTCTTAATATAGAACAAAATCACCTGGCCAGATGTAACGGCAATATTCGATGCATGGACGAACGGTAAAATGTAGAACAGAGTCCTGGGAGAGCCTGGCAGCCATACGATCCGAATGGAGAGCAACCCTGACCAAATACCTCAAGTCAGGGGAGGAGACGCTGACACAAGTCTCCACGGAAAGGCGGGCCCGCAGAAAGCAAAGTGACAGCTCCAACAGACCAGAGACAGAACACATATGCAACCTATGCAACCTCTGATTGTAACTCTCGCATCGGCCTCAACAGTCACAGACGTCGATGCTCCAGCCAAGCAGACAACTAGGATGCTACACATGGTCAACCCTGACGGTCGGAGGTCTACAAAGATACATTCTAGCGAGAAAAAAATTGCCTAGCACGACACAATGGACCAACTTTCATAGTATTATTACTTTTTCTTTCATATTATACATATATATATATATATATATATATATATATATATATATATATATGGTGGGGGGTTACACCACCTTATCTGCCAAGTCGCTGGCTAGATGACGTGGCAATCAGCGATCTAAAAAGAAAAGATTCGCGCCCTCTTTTTGCTCACTCAAAAACAGAAGGCTATAGGTAGCAGTCTCCAGTTTTCTCATCTGGGAAGACTTAGTCGCCCGACAAACCGACTACTTAATTTTAAACAAACAACGTGGATATTACATACACAGACATACATCTACACGTACATACATATAAAAACACTACGACTAAGTACATAGTTGTTTTCTTTACTTTTTAACGTGAATATAATGTTCTCTTCTATTAAATATGTGTTTAAAATTCTTCAATCCATTTCTTTTGAACATGTTGAAGTAATTTCTATTGAAAATGTTGAATTCATTTATTTTGAAAGTTTTCAACTTTCTCCGTAACAAATCGTAATTCTTCTTGATATAAACTGGTGACTTTGCTACGATATAGACCTTCATAATACAATCACAATTACGTTGGGCTGGCCATGTGGCAAGGATGAGTGATGATCGTATACCAAAAGTTCTTTCTTTAGAGTGAACTCCATAGTGGTCATAGAAATGTTGGTAGACCTTGGCTCAGGTATAAAGATAAACTGAAAAGCAACCTTTCTTGCGTCAACATTCCATTCAAGAACTTTGAAAAGGTATCTATGAAGAGATCAGAGTATCGTTTCTAGCCGCCATTCAGGAATAATGCACCATCAAGAAGTAAACATCAGTCCACTACGTGAAACATGAAAGCAAAATAAGAAAGCTAACAGTGTTCCTGCTGCACTTGGATACAATACATTCTCCTGTACTGTTTGTGGTCTTTTGTGCAATTCTCGAGCTGGTCTTAAAAGTCATCATTGTCATAGGCATTGCAAATAATTAGTTCGTGATAGTCGGAACCTCATACATCGAACTCGATGGGAGATTCTATTATATATATATATATATAGAGAGAGAGAGAGATAAAGCTAGTGAGCCAGACAAAGTCACCCAGGTTTCACTTAAGCGGATCGTCAGGGAAAGCTGGCTCGTGTTGTATTGAGCTCTTTTAGTTAGTTGTTTACTCGTGTCGGTTTTTTTTTTGGGGGGGGGCTTTAAACCTGTATCTGTGCCATTTTTTTCGACAGACTTTCATGTTTCTAGCTCTTTCTTTTTTTAAAATCTTTTTTCCTTCGTGATTGATTTGATTATTGGCAAATCAAGAATTCGAAGGTTTTTCGAAACGAGTATAGTTACCTATATATATATATATATATATATATATATATATATATATATATATATATATATATATATATATATATATATATAAGAAGAGTTATCCTTTGGTTTGGTAGAGTTGTCGGTAGAGTTTGTATGCTGTGTTGTGCACAATACGACACGTGGTTCGCTGGGGACTAAGAATAAACTACGATTTCAGCATTAGGTACTATGTGTTTCTAGGAAATAGGTATAACAAATAAACCTATGTTTACAATCAGAAATAGTTGAGATTTCTATGACACATAATGAGAACAGAAGGCGTAGAAAAAAGACAGGCGAAAACAAGCGAAACAAGGAATACGGGTTATCTAGTTAATGGGGGTTGTACCTAATGAATAGCAGGATGGGGACAAAGCGAGATGGTAAGAAGTCGAAAATTACTCAGAGGGACAAAATAGTCATGATCGCCCACGTTCAGAATGGACTAGGCAAAAAAAAAAAGAAAAAATTGATCTTAATAGACAAAATTGATTTTGATGATAGGAGGCACAAATTTTGAACCAGTTTGACGTGTGTGTATGTTTGAGTGCGTGTGTGTTATTATTATTATTATTATTAGCACTTACATGCTAATAACCTTGGGAAAGGTGTGAATATATCTCTTCTCCCCCCAGCTTTAGGGTAAATACCAGGGCTAGTGGGAATCGGTCTAGGAGAAAGAATAACTCTGGATTCAAAACGAGGCTGGAGGGGGGTTGGTCTCTTGTCAGGTTGTCTTGCCCAGGAAACACCACTGCTACTTAAAGGGTTACGGAATAAAAAAAAATATTATTATTATTATTATTATTATTATTATTATTATTATTATTTCTCTTCTTTTCTCTTCTTCTCTCTCTCTTCTTCTTCTTCTTCTTCCCTGTGTACATAGACGTGCTTGTGTGCGTAAGGGTTAGTATGCTCGTGTATACGCTCATTCAAGCATGAGCTTAATTCTTATCAAATGCAAAGTATATGTGTGGGAGACATTATACTATCACAGGAGTCTTTGGGGGACAGACTAACCGTCAGTAAGTTCGGTCCTTGTGAACTGCGTCACCAACGTGCCCCGGGGGTGCTTAAAGCTTGTCCAACATCGAAGCTAAGCAACATACAGTGAGTCCTACCATTCATTTTTTTTCTTCTTCCCTTTCCCTTTCTCGTTCCTTCTCTTTGAAGATTCCAATTTGGCTGAACTGGAAAATTTTCTTCAATTTCTATCTTGACACTATTACCTACTTGTTCAATGGCCTGATTTTCAAACTTACCTTCGTTCCACATTGTTTAAAATAACGTTTCTTTTCCCAAATAGTTTCAATGTACAAGGTGTATTGAAAAGTTCCCTTTCTAAAATCTGACCAAACATTATTAATATTTATTTTTTAGAGCTTTTTGGTCGGGTTAAGAATTTTTCAGCACCACCTTATATTATCAATCCTATTCATTTAATTTTCAACTGTTGTTCACTTATTCTTTTTACTAATTTTTATTATACATTTTCAAATTTTTATTTTAGATTTTGAAATTTTCATTTTACAATTACAACTTTTTATTTTAGATTTTCAACTTTTAAATTTTATTAATTTTTATTTTAAAAGCATTATTATTTACTAATTTATTTTGAAAAAAGTCCACGCGTATGGGGCACCCAGGGAGGATCGAACTAACAACTCGGTAGTAATGACCAACCAGATTTAACTCGCTAACCATTACGCCATCCCAAAGTATCCATTACAAAGTGTTTTATACATTATTTTTACATATTATGTACATCTATATTTACATTTGGACAAATGCCCTTATCGTCAGTGTTTCGACCACTACGCCCTGTAGCCTTCTGCAGGTGTTTATCGATTCGGATATCTTTCAGGGAATTTCAAACTTGATCGTTTATTTAATCTTAATTGTTCTGGTTCCACCGTCCAGGTCTCGGGATACCTAGTCTTGTTCATGATAATAACAATAAAGATGAGGACATTAGTCCGACTGTAAATGATGATAACCTATCATTCCATATATTCAGACAGAACCTATCTATCTATCTATCTATCTATCTATCTATCTATCTATCTCTCCGTCATATATCGATTCATATCTATCTATTTATTTATCTATGTATCGGATTCCGTTCATATCTATCTATCTATCTATCTATCTATCTATCTCATTCTGCCCATATCTATCTATCTATCTATCTATCTATCTATCTATCTATCTATCTATCTATCTATCTATCTATCTCAGTCTTTTCCTATCTTAATCTGTACATATCCATCGAGCTCACTTTCTAATTTTGTTTAAAATGAGATTTGTTATTTTTGCCGCCCCTTCGGTGCGTGGTGGGTGTGTAGACGTGTAATGATTTCCCCGGCTAGTCTGGATGTCCACGATTCATGAGATCGATCCTTACTATTACTATCCCATACAAAATTTAACATAACTCTCACGTCCGAAAAAGATGGGCATACCCGGCTATTTCAATTTCTATTTCATAACCTACCCGCTTATACCACAGACCCTTCATTTGTTTCAATAAATTCTTTATGTATTTCAACATACCCGTTTATTCCAACTGAATCTCTCCACTAATTATGTTCCGAGAACAAATCAATTTTGAATAAATTTTCCAGACTGCCATTTTATTCCAAACCCTCCCATTACGGACTAATAATACAAGAGTCGATATAAAATAAAAATAAATAAAAATAAACAAGGGTCAACGTAAAATCAAAAACCTAACTTTATATTTTAGTGAAATAACATAAGGTACGTTAATGTCGGTTATATTTTATGTACTCGTGTAAGCCGATTTCATGTATGGTGCTACACCTGAATTTTTTGGTGTGAATTGTTAAAAAAAAATACCTGTATTTTGTATAACCGATCACTGAAAATGCATAATTTTTATTCTTTTAAAAAATTATCGGTTCATACTGCAACCCTTAATTTTGCGTAACAAAGTGACAAAAAACGCACTCTATATTCAAGTATATATAATAAATATTACCAGTTCTTTCCTCCTTTCTTCCTTTCTTTCTTTCTTTCTTTCTTTCTTCCTTTCTTTTTTCTTTCTTTCATAATAGTTTCGTGTCTTTCTTTCTTGCTTGCTTTCTTTCTTTTTTCTTTCTTTCATAATAGCTTCCAGTCTTTCTTTCTTCCTTTCTTCCTTTCTTTTTTCTTTCTTTCATAATAGCTTCCAGTCTTTCTTTCTTGCTTGCTTTCTTGCTTTCTTTCATAATAGCTTCCAGTCTTTCTTTCTTTCTTTCTCTCTTTCTTTCTTTCTTTCTTTCTTTCTTTCTTTCTTTCTTTCTTTCTTTCTTTCTTTGCTTCTATCTTTCGTTTTCCCTTTCATTTCTTTCCTTCACGCATTTTTTTCGATTTGCTTCATTTTGTTTCCCAGTTTTTCTTTCTTTCTTTCTTTCTTTCTTTCTTTCTTTCTTTCTTTCTTTCTTTTTCTTTCTTTCTTTCTTTCTTTCTTTCTTTCTTTCATAACAGTTTACAGACTTTCTTTCTTTCTTTCTTTCTTTCTTTTCCTTTACGCATTTTTTCGATTTGCTTTATTTTATTTTTGTCTCCTTGTTTTTCTTTCCAAGTTTTCAAGTGGTTTGCACTATTCTTTCTTTTCACCTGCTTTGTTCCCATTATTATTATTATTATTATTATTATAGAGTGAAAGTGCAGCAAACCAATAAAGTATGGGGGTATAAATATACCCTCCAATATACAAAGCCCAATATACCCATAGTGACACACAGTAACATGTATCACAGTCAAGTGTGCGCGATGGTAACATTGCAGGTATAACCTGGCTAGAAATGTCATCAGAGCGGGCAACCCAGTCTGTTCGAACATTGTGCGATTGTAGGTATTCCCCAAAATCTAGATGTGACTGCCAAGTCGTCTTAACTCCTTGATTCTTCAAACTTAAAAAAAAATTCTCTCAGCACCCAGCCATGATTCTAGCCACCAACTCCCCCCAGTTTAATCATTTCATAGATAGAGATTCGCAGTGTGTCATCCCCTAGGGGACACGCCCAACTGGTTAAGGGAATTTTCAGTGCGCCCACGTCGCTACCGAATGTGACTCAAGGTTGAAATTTAAAGTGGGTTTACCGGCAATACCGTACAAAAATTGCTCAAGAGACCACCCCCCACCCCCGGCAATTCCTCTTTTTGTGGGGACCTCAGGCGTCAGCTAAGCTCATTTCTGTAGGAGAAGTACTGGCCGGGGGATGACAACCTGGCGCTTGAGCTTAATATTGTTTTGCAACTACCCAGCCGAAACCGAAGATGAAGCCACGCCCAATTGGTTACGGTTAGGCAACTGACAAGCAAATCTGCTGTACCGAACGAGATATTTACTGGGTAATTCCTCAAAACTGAACAAGGACAGGGTGCGATGGATAAGTTGTCGCCATATTATACTTCCAATTTCGCGCATGCGCGTTGTTTGTTTTTAATTTTGCCGACTGCACAGTATAGTAGGGTCAGTTGGGCACCGTCTGTGAGAAAAAGAGCACCATGACACAATTCACTCCGCCAGAAATTGGGAAGCGGTATGCTGTCCTGCTTGACATTCGCACCGGAAGCTCCAATACGAACATTTCAGTGTGTTTGGGTGTCAATCTGAGGATAGTGCAGAAGGTTCGGAAAGAGTTTAATGGTGATTACGAAGTTGTCTGGAGTGATCACGAGTGATGGTGATGTTATGCCTCTATTTCATCATCACAGAGACCTACATCAAGTACCTTGAGGAGGTAGTGCTACCCTAGGTCAAAAGGGTGGCTGCTGGAAGGACCTATGTTTGGCAATAGGACTCTGCAACATGCCACACAAGCAGGAAAACCTAGTCATGGCTGTCAGAGAATTTCTGTGACCGCATCACCCCTTACAACTGGCCACCTACCCCCCTCCCCAAACTTCACCCTTGATTATGATCTGTGGGGCGCAGTTGAGCGAATGACCAACAAAACTCCTTGTAACACAGATGAACTGAAGGCAAGGATTATGGCAGCATTCACCAACTTAAAGAAGGAGACAGTCCAGAAGAGTTGCGGTGAATTCCGAAGTCGTCTGGATGCTGCGGTTGAAAGCTAATTGTGATTTTATTGAATAAATATTCTCTTGAGTATATCAAGATATTTTTGTGTAACTTTGGTAAATATATTTGTTAAAATGAGATGTCAATGTTATTTTCATTTTTGCGTAATATAGGCGACAATTTATCTATCGCACCCTGTACATGTTAACAATTTTAGTTAAGGTCAAAAGCAATGAGCGCCATACCTGGTATATCATCAAGACATTATCATTATTATTATTATTATTATTATTATTATTATTTACTTACTCTTTCAACTTCACGCCTCTTTTTTGTTGCTATTGTTCTCTCCCCCTTCTCATGTTCTCCCCCTTTTTTTTTCAAATTCACGTCATCTGATTGTGCCTCTTTCTCGTCTACACACGTTCACGCTTCGATGGCATCAATGGCGCTTATTTCACTTATGTATTACATATTGTGATACTAACCTCCAGACGAATGAAAACTTGGGCCTTCTCGGGCTAACATTCTCGGCTGACATAATGTGGAAAGATTATATCGAATCAATTGTTATATGTCTGCTACTATGAAAGTTTGTTCACCGTGTCCTTCCAGACAATTTTTCTCTCCTGAACCGATCTTACATATTTATAAGTCTACCATCCGTTCATGCTTTGAATATCTTCCGCTGTCGCTACTGTATATTCAGAGATTTTTTAATAAAATCCAAAGAAGAATCAGCAATATTATTAGTCCTGATCTGGTGTCTCGGTTTCAGTTACTTTCCCGCCGCCATAATGTAGCTTACTTGTACCTTTTTCTCTAAATACTTTCATGGTAATTGTTCGGATAATGATACCTTGGTTTGATGAATTTAAGCGTAGTATTAGATTAGCTGAACGGACTCACTAATTCACAGTTTAATTAGCTAGATGGAACCGTAAGTTCTATGTTAACAGTTTCTTTTCTCGCACTTCTCGCTCGTGGAATTTTCTTCCGGTTCCATGTTTTTCTATCAACTTTGATCTTCAAAACTTTATATGCAATGTCAATCGTTATCTATTGTCCTCCTGATTATTCTTCCTCTCTTTAATAATGTTTCTCTTTTTTCTTATTCTTTCACACTGATTTAATCCTTTGTGTCTTAGTGACTTTACTGCCTTACATGGGGTGAAATGATAAAAAAAAAAAGAGTTACCGAAACAGAAATATACAAAGTAAATTTAATAATCCGCTTTAAATACGCCGGTGCACTAAATAACTTCTTAAGAAATAAAATAAATACGACACTGAAACCCCCCCCCCGCCAAAAAAAACAGCTCGTACCGGGAACATTATAAATATAGTAAGCATACAGAGCAATGTTTCCCGAACTTTTTTTTTTTTTAATTCATGGCGCACTTGTAAAATAACTAAAACTGTGGAGCCCACTTTAAATTTTAATTTAAAAAAAAATACTTATAAAACTTGAAAATAGGAAATTTCTCCTGAAATAAGCATTTTTGTGACGTACGGTGGCCGTTAATAATTAAGTATAATTCAAGGCTTCAATGTTAAGATAAAACAGTATTTTAATTACAACGCAAATAAATACTTAACAAGAAAAAAAGAAGTAAAAGTCAACCAAAGATTATTAACAATTTCAGCGAATACCTTGTTAGTAGCGCGGCTCGGCTTAACGTCCGGTAAATCTTAAATCAAAACCCAAATCATTGACACAATGAATTAATTCGACTGGATAGGTCAACTCAATAATCACTCAATAATCTTTATTTATTTGTACGTTTGTACAAAATGTGGCACAAGGCCTAAAAGGGGGTTGGGGAAGGACGGTCTTCTTCTGTCTTAATTCTAAACTTAGCTAGTCACAGGCACGGACCCAAACATACCAACAATAGTCCTATCACCAAAACAACACATTCACTCTTACCTTTCTTACTGCGTCCACCATAATACCTCAAATTCTCTATGAAATCCTAACTAGTCCCCATATGTACATTTCAAAGTCTGTGGGGGGAGGGGAAAACAACAATTAAAAAAAAACAATGATTATTTACAATATGATTTAATACTATTTAAAACAAAACAAAATAGGGTTAGTAATAAACCCCCACCCCCAATCCCTAAATCACTCAATAATCACTCCAGTAGGCTGACACCGTTATTTATACAGAAAGTAACCATATACCTTGCATGGTACTGGTACATTACAGAATTTTATGCGGATTGTAACCTTACTGGTCAAAAGATTGTATTAAATATGGAGGGTGGAAGAACTTCTTTATTTCTAAAGAGGATTTGTGTAACTGTCATTCTTCTATTTCAAGTAAACTCAAACACCATTGACTAATTTCTTTCATTTTTCTGTCTCTCCTGCTTTAGTCAATTGCCATCTCTTTTGTGTTCCAGCTCCCCACGAGAGTGCAGCTCCTCTTTAATCCACTAAATGTAGCCAATGAATCACAGTCTTCTAATCTGTGGTCATTCCATCACATTTTACAGATTTCTACAGGGCTATATTGTTTGTTTTTATTCTTGACATGATACACCAAAAATAGCCCTGAGCATCCTCATGTGTTCTCTCAAGCCTATCAATCATCTGCTTTGTTAACTTTTATCTTTAATGGAATATAGACTACTTTTAGAAAAAGTACAAGAGATTCTTACCGTATAATATACTAAAAGTTTTTGTTTGTAATATCTGTAACTTTTCATACTTGCTTTTTTTTAATAATTTTGCAACAAAGTTTTAAGTAATCTTGTTAGTTCAAGGGACTATGCCATTAGATATAATGAAACAATTCTAAGATACTCAGAAAGTAATTATGTATTTCAGCACTATGAATTATGAGTCAAACAAGACAGAACCAAAGTTGAATGTCAGGAAACTGCATTTAGAATTAGAATGAGAATCTGTAGGTGTTAAATCCACTGGGTATAAAGGATATAGAATAACCGCCCATCTAATAATCTTATTTTTGTGTTGTTTGTTCCACAGAGTATAACTTTGCATTCTTCTGCTAGAGAATAACACCATTTCTCTTTACTAAAGCTGGAGACTTGATTTGATGCTTTATTTACCTAATCAAGTTGCTAGCAATAAACATCATCTCTTCTATCTGACTGTATATCCTTTATAGGGTTTTTTTTTGTAATCGGTATCAACCCAGGTAAGACAGTACAGCTACTAACACGTAAGAGGTTACTGGCTGTGGAGGAATTAGAAACAGAAACATTAATAATGAGCAAGAGGAGGAAAGAGTAATCTGGAGGATAGCGATTGGCATTGCATTTAAATTTTTGCTGATTAAAGTTGGCGGGAAAGCATGGAGCCGGAAGGAAATTACAGAAGCGAGAAGTGTGAGTAAAGAAACTCCTAGCATAAAACTTACGGCTACATCTAGCGAGTTCAACTGTAAATTAATGAAATCTCGCCGCCAGTCTAGTATTG